GTCCAGGTGTGACTGTTGTGTCCAGGTGTGACTGCTCTGTGTCCAGGTGTGACTGTTGTGTCCAGGTGTGTCTGTTGTGTCCAGGTGTGACTGTTGTGTCCAGGTGTGTCTGTTGTGTCCAGGTGTGTCTGTTGTGTCCAGGTGTGTCTAGGTGTGACTTTTGTGTCCAGGTGTGACTGCTCCGTGTCCAGGTGTGACTGCTCCGTGTCCAGGTGTGTCTGTTGTGTCCAGGTGTGACTGTTGTGTCCAGGTGTGTCTAGGTGTGACTGTTGTGTCCAGGTGTGTCCAGGTGTGACTGTTCTGTATCCAGGTGTGTCCAGGTGGGACTGTTCTGTATCCAGGTGTGTCCAGGTGTGACTGTTGTGTATCCAGGTGTGATGGTTGTGTGTGTGTTACAGCTGTGGACGAGCAGAACGCTCAGACCCAGCAGCACCAGGTGTTCTCTGTGGGTCGAACCGAGCAGGTGGGTCTGGTTGAGGAGGAGGAGGAGGAGGAGGAGGAAGACGTGGAGGAGGACCAGATGTCCCTGCAGTCCACCTGCAGCTCCAAACAGCGCCCCAGTCGTAGAGGTGAGACTCGTCCTGAACAGACAGGTGCTCAGCTGTCTGTCTCACCTACCTGTCTCACCTGTCTCTGTCTGTGTGTCTTCAGTCAGTAAGACGCCCTGTGAGAAGCTGATCAGTAAAGGCAGCCTGTCTATAGGCAGCTCTGCTTCACTTCCTGTCCAGACAGGAAGTAGGGACATCATTCCTTTGCTGAACACAAAGATCCTGTATCCAGGTGAGCTGTCCTCTTCCTGCTGCCACCTGTGTGGATCTTACCTGCAGGTGTCTTTAACCCTCTRTGTGTTTCAGGCTCTCTGTCGAGCAGCTCAGTCATCAGTCGACTGCTGGTCAACGCTGACCCGTTCAGCTGTGACGCCGACAACTTGTAAGATACCAAACACACCTGTACATACCTGTACATACCTGTACATACCTGTACATACCTGTAGACACATGTACACACACTCCTTTAGACTCCTGTAGACACACTCCTTTAGATAGACATCTGTACACACACACCTGTACATACCTGTACATACCTGTAGACACATGTACACACCTGTACACACACTCCTTTAGACTCCTGTA